ACATAAAAATAAGTTCATTTGATTTGAAGGGGATATAATACAATATTACAGAGAATATAATACAATGTTACAGAGAATATAATACAATAGAGCAAGAACACAATAGAAAGGTTTATTATACTATCATCCATTACAGAGTCACGATGGCTGAGGAGATAGTGCGTTCGTCTTCTAATGAGGTGAACCGGGTTCGAATTCCAGTCGATACGAATTCTGCATCCGACTTGCACTGACCACAGTGCTGACGTGAAACATCCCCAGTGCCAGACGGATCATGGGTTAGAGTCCCCTTGCCGGCAGGCTGACCGAGGATGGTTCTTCTGGACTTCTTGATCCAGGAGTTCCCTTGTCTTCTGGATTGGGTTCAAAATTACAAGGATACGAAGTTGAACATTAGTAGTTGTAAACTCTAAAATTGGGTCGACTGTACAACTGAGGTTATATATCATCCATTTCAAACGATAGTTATGCTAAAATGACTAATGTGGCTCAACCAAAAATATCTAATAATGACTAAAAAATGTACGAAAAGTATTAGAAAATAATGGAACTAAAAACTACTAACTAAAAAATAATTTTAACTAAAATAATTTAGCGCACAGTGCAGAAATGTAATTACTAAGCAAAAGGAGAAAGAATAAGCACTTATATTTATTTAAAATATATTTCGAAATTTTGGTTTGTACACCACTTTTGCTTCTAAATGCTAATTATATATATTTTAGACATTTATAACAGATTGCTGTTTATTTTCTGTAAGTCTACAGTCTACGTGAATACAAGGAGTTCCTTTGGCTTTGGAGTATTCTGCAAATGTCAGTTTATTCAGTATTACTTTGCACTTCTTCAATTTCTTGAAACAACAATAGCACAAGTTTCAACATATTCATCAATTGATGTCTGTAGCATTTCCCCCAAACTGCGACCATTTTCTTCTTCTTTAGCATCAGGTGTTACTGCTTTCCTTTTCAAAATGAAACAACATCAATATCTTTTATTTTTAACAAAATGTTGCTAGAATTTCTGAATGATAGATGCTGGAATGACCTTGTTTCAAAAAGATCTTGTCAGGTATTACTAACATTATAAGAATATCATTTGTGACGACATATGGCAATTGGAGTCTTCGTGGAACGGTTTTGATAACTTAATATATTTTTTTTCATGATTCATATGATATATTTTTTAGTTTTATCAGGGATTGCTTTTATCTAAATTAACCAATGCAGGGGCTCAGGGGATAGAACGTTCTCTTCCCAATGGGATGACCCTGGTTTGAATTCCAGCAGTGGCTGTTTGATACGAGTTCTGACCCTGGCCCGCACCGACCACAGTAAAAGTGGTGAAAGGATCATGAGTTAGAATTCCCTTACTGTTGTGCTAACCATGGGATGTTTTCATTGTTTTCCTCTTTCGTGTAACGTAATTGTGTGTTAGTTATATCGAAAGAGCGTGATTTAAAACCCTTCTACGGTGGGTTTAAAATTACTAAGTTGTAGATTTGAACATGAAATGTGTTGACTGTTCAACGCCGGTTGTAAAATAAAATAAAATGCATAATCAGGAATGTATTATATATGAATAAGTTTATTTTTGAAAAAAAAAAAAAAAAACTATNTATGAATTTCTCTTTCAGAGATTAAAAGAAACATTTCCACCTCTATATCTGAGAGCGATTCTTCAAGTTTCCAGCATATGTTGAACGTACGAAAAAAGCAGGCACAGTGCTCTCTACTTCTTGAACTTAATAAGAAAGATGATGTTCCTTATGCACTCAACTTATGTGAAAAATTTGGTGTCATCAAGAATGCTTATTCATTTTCTGGTGTATCAGATAATGTAAGCCTTGGAATTTAATTTGTTTGAAATTTTAAGTGACTAAAAAGTATTTTTTATGAAATAAATGACTTCATAGTTTTATTTTGTATAGTTGTTTACAGATTTATTTTATGCTGTTTTAGTTTTTATTATTTCTTAAGAATAGATATATTTTGTTTGATTCATTGTTAGTTATTTAAATTTTGTATTTTAAGTTATAATGTAAAATTTTCGCTTAATCAAAAGTTTAATTGACTTATTAGTATGTGTATTATTTTCTTATCTAATTGGCTAGTTTTTTAAAACCACAATCATTAGTGTAAATGATTATAATATTAAATTGATTAATCTATATGTCTGCTGTTCAGTATTTGATGCTTAATTATCATGAGCCTGGGAATTATATTTCGTTTCTAACTGCTTCATTTGCTTTAAGTATTTCTAAGAGCTTTACAGTACAAGATAATTTCTTATCTATACCATTATAAAACATAATTTTTTTCTATAAAATTGTGATTAGTGTTATTCACAGAACTTTTATATTTAAAGTACTTTGTTAAATCTGTGATAATTTTGAAATTGAATTTATACCTTTCAAATTGGCTACAGTCATGCATGTCACCCTTTTTGCTAGTTTTAGTTATAAAAATGTTTAAAATTATGTAAAGAAATTATTTTTACCTATACATCTCTTAACACTTTTACTGTATTTTTAGGTTTATGTTTTACTTGAGTTTGAACAGGAAGAATGTGCCAAGAAATTGCTTCTTGAGTCTCATTTTAAAAATATTCTAGATGCTTTCCCTGTTTTATCACGCATTATTGGCTATACCAGAAAATATGACCAAGATGAGCCAAAAGTGTCAATCAAAGTTATTGAAAATAACCTAAATACAATTCCAATAAAAGAAGGAACTGTAAGAAAATGATAGTACTTGCTTTGCTTTTTAAATTATTTCTGTGTTATTTGTTTTTTTACGAATGTAAAGTTCATGTTTGCAATTAAACCTTCTTTATACAATAAATATTAAGATATGTTATAATAAAACTTCTTTCCTAAACTTTTTTCTGGAAGATGAATAATAATCTAATTATGATATTTTCTATTACAAAAATAGAAAACCATGAATATTTTTAATGTTATTATTTTTTTTAATGTTATTTTTTTTTCTGTGGAACCTTATATGTATTGTATACTAACTTTCATTTATTACTCAAAAATTGAAAGCAGGAGTTTTCAAACTATGGTTCACTGTATGATTACAAGTGGTGCTTCAATCACTGTGACCACTTCAGTGGTGCCACTGAAGATATTTAATGTTAGCCCCGTGGTTGGTGGTTGTGTGCATAAATAGTATTGACCAGTCATATCTGACATTTGAACCTGGGTTACATACATAAAGTACTTAAAGGTCAACTATAAAAACCTATAATATATGGTGCTTCTGAACTGGTGTGTCAAATCATTTGAACATGACATGCATATGGTTGAACCCCTCTGGTTTTAATGTCTAATTCCATTCAGTATAGAGGATTTTAAGTTTTAACTATTGGCAAGATTGATATAAAATTTAAGGGTTTTATTTCTACACTATTTTGATTTTATTACCATTTCTATAAAATATATAAATGTCTAATTTATAGATTATACATTAAGCTCTTACAGTATTTGAATTTCAAAATTATTAACATACATATTTGTGTCAAAATATATCCACAATAGTTAAAGGAATTTTTGATTCATATTAATAAACATAGGTTATTGTATTAAAAAGTATTTAAATTAATATTAAAATGTTAAATATGAATATATTAAAATATTAATGCAATAATATTAATCACTTTTATTAATCACATTTCATAATAAGTTAAATAGGGATTAAATATTGGTGCAAAATCAGCATTTAAGATTGAAATATATTTTGTTTTCAGTATTTGTCTAATTTTTCTATTTTTTATTCTATGTTTTTCATAAATTTCTGCTGAATAGTTTTTATAAACTTCCACAAATTTTTGTGAATTTTGTAAAACCCCAATAATTTTGTTCTAAAATTCATTACTTTAGTCAAAAAGTATTTGTTTAAAGAATAAAGTTTAAAATTATGATGGAACTAAAAAATTTTGTTCTGTGAAAAAAAAGTTTTGCAGCTAAATTCATGGACAAACTTAAAAATTTTAGCATCTGAGCTTTTGAAACCATTTTATTTATCAATAAACAATTTAAATCATCAATTAAGAAACTCGTAGGTGAAAATAATGAAAACTCAGTAACGATATGGATCTTCATTAAAAACAAAAATTTTGATATGCTAAACCAGTGATACACACTGTAACATGTAAAATATGCTAACAATCTTAAATAAAGTAACTATATGTTAATAAGTTATAATTATTATGTATTCCCTGGAACCAGCAATTCTAATAGTTGCCCATAGGCAAAATTATAACCAAATTTTGTAATATATATTAATTTCTTTTCCTTCTTTGTTAGTAGCTGAGCAAAAAATTAGACTCATTCTGAGTATTACATTCAATCATTGTTTCCTCTTGATGCAGGTGTTTGATCAGTCCTAATTAAAGCCTAAATGTTAAAAAATAAATCTTTTCTTGTCTTGGTATTCTTTGTTTTGTCTCTCGATGGGGAGTAGAGATCATCAGTGGAGAATTCATATTTTAAATAATAATATATTTTTTATTAAAAGGAACCCAGGATTTCTGAAGACCTGGCTTCTAAAGATCCGCATTTCCTAAGTCTAACAAAATCTCTTCTAAACTTAGTGTTGAAATAGAAAACCTTGAAAACCCTATCAACTGGGTTGATGAAATTCTTTATTTATTTATTATAAATCTGCAAAACAGTGTCTAAAAATAAGAACAACATCCATTCATATGCCAAGTTTACTACGAAAAAGATATTAATGATTATATTTATTTATTTATTAATGATATATTTATTGAGAAAAAGACTAAATAATATATTAGTTTAATTTTTCATTTATAGGAAATATGCTACACTCACTTTACCATAACATCCAGACAGGGCCGGATTTCCCATTAGGCCATGGCCTGGAACCACGGCCGGATTAACCTATAGGCACACTAGGCACGTGCCTAGGGCCTACGAAATTCAGGGGCCTACGAAACACTTGGGAGAAAAAAATTTTAAAAAAAAATCTAACGTAGTGGAATCAGAAAAACAGTTTTGTTTTTCTGATTCCACTGCGTTTGATTTTTTTTTCTTTTCGCGATAAATTTCGCACTCAATAAATTCTTTTTATTCATAAATTTTATCATTAGGTTTTTTTTTTTTAAAAATTCCGTTGATCTTGCCTTGTTCCGGGTTTTAATATTTATGCTAGTGCCTTTTATAACTATCATTTCGGTTCGATAATTTTCAAGTGTTTTGATTTAGATTAATAAGTTTTTCTTTTATTTTATTGTTCCCCCCCCCCCCCCGTTTAATTAGGTATGAAATATATTGCGTTATTTAATCATTGGTTTTGTTTATATAAGTTAATTTAGGAATTGTAATTATTTTTAAAAAATAAATATGAGAATTTTGTATTTTTTAAACTT